GGACTCATCACTCGAAAATATCTCCCAAATGAGATCCATGAGTCCACCATGCAAGAAAAGTATATATTTTGTTTTGGAATTGTTTGACTTTCAATCTGAATCATGAGGTTGAAATCAAAGTTCATTTTGTGTAAGACTTGATTATAGAAATTAACTATTGAATTTAAAGTCCAAAACTAAGAACAAAGTCAAGCAAATAAGAGAAGTAGATTTGCCTAATATAAAAGTTTCCCAATGCGTATTACTTGTTTTTAATTCATTGCTTGTATTATATATAATAGGTTTTAACAAATGGGAAGTACAAGAGTCCTATGCATCGTGTGATCCTGAACAACGAGGTGAGAAGAATCTCTGTGGCCACAGTCCATGGACCATCACTTGACACATTTGTGAAACCAGGTCCAGAGTTTGTGGGCGAGTCTCACCCACCAGCATACCGAGGGATGATCTACAAGGACTCCTTGGAAGCCAATGGTTACCATGAGATCGATGGAAAATCATGCATGGCACAACTTCGGCTATGAACTAGAGTTCATGCTGGCAAGGCGTTGTTATGTGCTAAACCATTAAAATAATAATGTGTGGAAGTAATTAAATAGAATTGCTCATAAATAACTTTCTGTTGCCGTGCTAATGCTTATGAATAAGGTTTATTGTTTTGATAATAAAGTCATTGTTTCAATTTATGTTAGTATGGAGAAATTTGTATGGGGAGGACATTCGACAACACATGTTACTTTGTCGCCACATGGCAATGGGCGGAAACAGAATAATTTCATGTGATTTGGGTTTTTCTCAAAGGTGTTGGTGTGTGGCTCTGGGGATCTGAAGTTGTAGAGGTGGATGGATTTGATCCTTTGCAGCACAGATGGAGATCTAGCAAGGCCGTTGCTGAGAGAGAGAGCTGAGCTGATGTGAAAGGGCAATAATACACACACGCACCACATGCGTCTTGACTGACGAAATACTTAATTGGACTTGATTTGCTGACGATGCAGAGTGTGATGACCAAAATCGAAAAATTGAAAGTACGGTGACTAAAATTGAATGAAAACAACACTAAACCCCCCAAAAATGTAATTAGTCCTTTATATATATATATATATATATATATATATATATATACCAGAAGGGATCTAGAACCAGAAGGGATGAGTACAGTAGAAAGTAATTAAACAAACATAATAAAATAAACATAATTTATGCATGAATCTTATTAATGAAAATACAAACATTGAACAGATGTATATGAACATAATGATATAATTCAAAATACTCAAAAAATTCAAACTTATAAAACTTTAAAACTTTATTAAAGCATAAAATATTGGCTTACAGAGTTCTGCTCACACTCAGCTTTTCTTCAGAGCATTGTTTCTGAGAGAACAATTTTAAACTAAGAAACTGAAAATATTTTTTCATTCTGCCCTTAAACAAAGCAAAGCTCTCCTTAAATAGACAAAGTTTTAACCTTAGTAGACTAAAAGGAACTCAAGGAAAGTAACTCAGGTAAACTTGCAGTCACGGAGAAGGAACTGTGCAGCTCATGATGGGTTCACTGTGCAAATTACTCAGATGCTTTATAAAAGGAAAAGGAATCTGCTTTGTGCTTTTACTCAGGTGAAAGGAAGATGCTCTGCGCTTTTACTCAGGTGCATTATCGACTTAGCTTTAATATTGTCTGCTGCGGCTTTTGACTCAATTATGATGAGGGAACTTTAGTCTGAATTTAGCTCATTGGTGGCATATGCTTCATTGGGATCTTGACTATGGGGATAGTCAGACCATCTCATGGGACGATCAGGGCTCTGGCTCAGTTGGCGAGGTTGGCAGCTTGAAGAGGATTGGGATTCAGTGTCTTCATCATCTTGCATTTGGGAGGCTTGAAGTAACAGCTGCTTAGCCATATCCTGCAACTCAGATTTAGATTTGCCTTCAACAGAGAGTGTAGTTTGGGAAGAATAAGGAGAAGCAGGCTCAGGCTCAGTAGGGAATGGAGCTTGGGGGAAATCACGGTATACAGATTCAGAAGTACAGTGGATTTCAAAACGATCCCACCATTTAACAAAAAATTGATGAGAAAAAATTCTTGTTTCCCAATTAACATTGTAGGCCCATTTCATAATCCAAGGAATTTTATAACGAGTAAAGAAAAGCTGAGGAATTGGAAAAAAAGAATCACGCTCAGAAATTTTTACTTTGGCAGAAAAATAGGTAATTAACTCAGTGATTTGGGGGGGAATAATTTCGGATTTAGGACCATGTGTATCCCACCAGTGAAGAAACCAGTAGGGAAGCTCACTGTTGGTAAATGTAGAGAGAATGGTAGATTATTTTCTGGGGGTCGACTTTGTCTCGGATGGGTTTAATATCAACGGATTTAGTCTCATGGAGAATTTCTCTGTAAAACTTAAGGGATTTGTAAGGACTATAGGGAAGATAATGAAAACCAGGTGGGAAATGATTCTGGGCAATCATAATAGGGCTCAAAGACTTAGAAACATGGGGCTCAACAATAAAAAGATTGGCTGTATTTTTAAAAACATAAGGAGATGTCTTAGGGTGGTAAGAAGAGGAAGAGAGAGGGATTGCAGTTGGAGGTAACTGAAAAGGATCAAAACTAGAGGTTAAAGCAGATTGATAATTAGGTCTGACTTGGCTTAGTGTAGATCCTAAAGGGTTGTAACGATTCATGATAGGAATAGGAGAAAGACCAGGATAAGGAGTAATTGTAGACTCAGGCTTAGGAAAGGAGGATGAAGAACCAGGCTCATTTTTGGTTGACTTTTGGCTTAGGGATGCTGAGAGGATCCTGGGTATTTGAGGAGAGGGGTTGAAGCTTTCTTTGTGCTTATCTTTTTCTTTTCGGCCGGCCATTGTTTATCTTGTAAAAACTCTCTGGTAAGAAAATCAGGAACAGAATTCTCAGTGCCTTTTAAATATTCTATATCAAAATCAAATATGCTTAAAAGAGCTTGCCAACGTGCAAAAATTTGTTTTGATGCAATATTTTGAACATCTTTTTCCAAAACATGCTTAGCTGATTTACAGTCTACTCTGACTAAAAACTTTTGATTTAATAGATCATCTTGGAATTTAGTAATGCATAATACGATAGCTAATATTTCTTTTTTAATAGTACTGTAATTAGATTGCGACTTAGTCCAGATACCAGAATGAAAGCGAATGATTTGTTCAGGAGGAATAGACTCAGTTTTCTGTTTAAGGATACCACCATAACCTATCTCAGAAGCATCAGTTTCAACAATCTTAAAAGAGTTGATAGTAGGGATTCCTAGACACGGAAGGGTTTTGACATGGCTCTTAATTTTCTTAACAATCTCAGTATGAGTAGAGGACCAAGAGGGAGGATTATTTTGTAATCTATCATACAAAGGCTTACACTGACTCCTTAAATTTTTATAAAAATCAGAAACATAATTAAGAGATCCTAAAAACCTTTGTAGTTGATTCTTTATCAGTTATCTGATCAGGAAATTTATCTACAAATTGTATGGCCCGATCTATTGGATGTATCTGAGAATGACTAATATTGAAACCAAGGAACCTAATGCTAGTTTGAAATAACTTAATCTTTTTTGCAAAGACAACTAATCCATTTGTTTTTACAACTTGTAAGAATTTATGTAAGTGTTTCCAATGTTGTTCTATAGATTTAGAAAAGATAAGAACATCATCAATGTAAACAATAGAAAAGTGACTATAAGGATTAAAAATCTCATTCATTATATTTTGAAATTCACTGGGAGCATTCTTAAGTCCAAACGGCATAACATTCCACTCATAATGGCCAAAGGGAGTAACAAAAGCAGTCTTATATCTGTCAGATTCATCAATTTGTATTTGCCAAAAACCACTCTTTAAATCAAACTTAGAAAAAATAACAGCATTACTTAAACGGTTGATCAGATCTCTTTTATTAGGGATAGGGTATCTAATCTATTCTAGCACAGTATTGAGAGGTTTATAATTTATAACTAACCTTGGGGATCCTCGTTCTAACTCAGCATTTTTCTGTACATAAAA